AGTGCTGGAGGGAGGGGGCGGGGGTGGCCCGGTGCAAAGTGCATCCCGAAAGCCCCCTGTCCGGAGACCCCGCGGCTGACACTTCGCACCCCGTCTGACCTGGGACTTCGCTGTCCCGAGACCTCCTGGTTCCCTCGGTGGCTGGAAGCCTCCGGCCCGGAGCGCGGCAGCCCCTTGCTCCGAGCCCCTGCACCGGGACTGCCCCCCCTCCCGAGCTAGGACTTCCTCCCTGCACCCCTGCCCCGAGGCTGCCGGCGGGCGAGACCGCCACCCTCTCTCCTCGGCCGTCTGGATGCTCTCCGAGCTGGGGCCGTGAGGCACGGAGGAGGCGCAGGAACCCCGTGTCCGGCCCTGCCCGGGCTGTTTCTTCAATGGAGAAGTTGGTGAGTGTGGAGGAAGCGGAAAGGAGGCAGAGGAGCAGCCGCTGAAGGGACAGGTAAAGTCAGTTACCTCCCCCGGGGGACGGGAGGGAGGGAGGACCCTCTCTGCTCCTTCCTGCCTGCTTTAACCACTCTCCAACCCTTCCTGGGCTCCCCATGGCTCCGAGCCCCCTCCTGCGAGCCCCGAGGCCCTGCACCACTCCCTGGCCGGTGTTTTCCAGGTCTCAGCCAGCTGCAGGAGACTGGGGTGCTGCAGGGGTCGGCCCGCCCACCGGAGAAGCTGCAGGCGGAGTACCTGGGACCTGCATCCTCTGAAGGTAACAGAGCCAGCAGTCCCCTCCCCCATTGTTTATTCCTGGCCCCTACCTCATTAAGCAGGGCTTGATTTACAGGGTGGTGGCCTGGGGAGGCACCCCGGTGTCCTAGCAGAAACACCTACACCCCTCCCGTCTCTCACCTGACCTTTGACTTTTTAGGAACTTCTCGACCCCAGAAACATCCTTTCCCCCTCTCTGTTCCAGGCAGTGTGTTTTTCCGGGTTTTGCATTACCTTTAGGTCTTCTGTGCCTGGCCTAAGGTCTCTTTTGTAGCCCCCCCTCTATCACCCGCTTGGCTTTCCTGTCTCCTAGGAATTCCTCAATTCCTTGTTAATTGCCTGTCCCTTCCAAATGACTCTGTTTTTTAATTAAACCACCATTTGCTGTTTTCCAACTTACTTTTCCCCAGCATCTTTCCCCACCCTCGGTCTGAGACTTTTGAGTTACCTAACTGACAACGCACATCGGGAGAGGAAAGTAAAGCCATAGCTTAAAAGACAGGGGTTTCACAAACTAGATTTTTTCCCTAGTGACAAGTCAGTGTGTATATTAATAGAAGAATGAAATCTACACATTATTAACCCCTAAAGCACTTAACCTGTAACGAATGCTGGGAGCTTTTATGTGTGTTTATGCGTAACAAATGTGCAATTATTATAAAGAAGTAAATGAAATTTATTATACCTCAGATTTACTAAAAGAACTTGGAGAAGATTACACGATAGCTTGTTGATCTTTTTTTAAAATTTATTTATGTATTTATCTATTTGTTATGATGTTTTTTAAGCCACCAAGCCCAGGTCTTGAACCACAGTCAATGGTGTGGGGAATCCAGCACGCTAACTGTGCCACCTGCTGGCTCCTCTTGTTGCTGGCTCCTCTTGTTGATCGTTTGACACTCAAGAATTTAAAAACAAAGGGATGTTTTGGTGTGTTTAGGGACTTAATCTCAGTATTCCACATAAATAAGATTTCTCATTTTAGAGACGAGCAGTTGGCATAATGGCTATGTCACTGGACTCCCATGCAGTCAGCTGTGGTTTGAGTCCTGGACCCGGTGGCTTAAACTCACGCCAGGCACGTGTGTGTGCATCCCCAAGATCCCGAGAGGAAAATGGAGAAGGGATTGCGGTGTGGCCATCCCCCCTGGGGAGTGATTTCTCGCTTTCTGTCTCGCTGGCGAGCGCACGCGCCCCCCCCCCCCAAAAAAAAAACAATTTCTCATTTTAAAACCTAGGGGCCAGCAGATGGTGTAGCATATGTTGCTGGGCTCCCACAGGGCTGACCGTGGTTCGAGTACCCGACCCGGTGGTTTCAAACTCACACCAGGTGCATGTGTGTCAATCCCCAAGACCCAGGGAGGAGAACAGAGAAGGGAATTGTGGTGTGACCATCCTCCCTGGGGGGTGATTTCTCACTTTCTGTCTCTATCTCTCCGGCAAGCAAATGCACCCTATAGCAAAACACTCTCAAAAATAAATAAATAAATAAATAAACAAACCTTTACAGAGAAATTGCTAGATTGAAATTTAAGCGTTTAATTCATGTGGTCATATTTCTGCTGCCGTATTTTATTGCTGTCTCTGAAAATGTACTGGAGGTAAGTTTAGGGCATTCATATAATTCCTAAAGCGGAGATAAAAACACAGAAATTTCGTAGGTGTTAATCCAGTAATTAGCCAAACAGATGATTTTTCTAACATCCAGTAGCAACAGTGTAAAGCGACTTGTTAATCTCAGTTATTTTAATATTTCAGTCTGCGGAGGGACTTTTAGATACAAAGAAGTCCTTAAAATAGCAGAAATTGGGGCCAACAGGTGGTGGTGTGGTTGAGGTGTTGGACTCTTACGTGGCTGACTACGGTTTGAATCCTGGATCTGGCGGCTTGAAACTCACACTGGGCACATGTGCATGCGTGCTCAAGATCCAGAGAGGAGAATGGGGGAGAAAGGGATCTTCGCATGGCCATCCATCCTCCATGGAAAGTGATTTCTTGCTTTCTCTATCTCTCTTTCTCTTTCTGTCTCTCCGGCCTGCGTCCTAAAGGAAGATGAGCAGAAATTAAGATATTTGGCTTACCTTGCTCTACTGGACTTTCTGTTTTACAGAGAGAAATGACCATCTTTATTGAATCAACTGATTGTCAGTACATAGCTAAGGGTCCTTTTAAGGAAACCTACAGATCATACATATTCTTCTTTTATTGTGGTAGGGTGTGTGCACTCACCAGGGGGAGACAGCGAGAGGGAAGGTGAGAAATCACCCACCAGGAGAGGTAATCCCTTCTCCATTTTCTTCCTGGGATTTTGGACACGTGCACACACACCTGGTGTGATTTTCAAGCTGCCGGGTCCAGGCCTTGAACTGAAATTAACCATGTGGAAGTCCAGCACCTTAACCACTGTGCCACCTGCTGGCCCCAGGTTATATGTATTCTTGAAACCTGAAACCCAAGGCCAAAGGGGATGTTCTAGTGAATGGGAGTTAGACTCACTATGGGCTAAAGACTAACATGGTAAAAACTGAGGGCAACGTGGGACCAGCAGTTAGCATAATGGCTATGTCGCTGGACTCCCATGTAGTCGACCACAGTTCGAGTCCCGGACCCGGTGGTTTAAACTCACACCGGGCATGGCCATCCCCTCTGGGGTGATTTCTTGCTTTCTGTCTCTCTGTCTCTGTCTGGCTAGCGAGCGCACGCACCCTGTAGCGGAAAACCTCTCAAAAACAAAATAAAAAAAAGAAAAATTAAAGGCAACGTTTGTATGTGTATTCAGGAAATCAAGGCTGATTGACCACTTCAGGTCAGTAAAAGCGATGCAGAAGCCTATAAAGTTAAAGGCTGATTTTTATGGTCTAAACGTGGAAGTCACCAGAGAGAAGCTTAATGATTACTTCAGAACTTTTAAAAACATGCTAGAATGTTTCAAGTATGTTTGGATGTTCAAAATGAAGATTGTATTTCCTATTTACATTTTCTCAGTTAAGTGTTTTTTTTTTTTCTGCATTAGATTTCCCTTAGGAGGTTTTCATTTTTGAAGGGTATCATTATTATTATTTTTTTATCAGAGATGGTAAGAGGAGAGAGATCTGGCTAGTCAGCACATAAGGTAAAGTGAGAACTTGGCTTTTCCCCTCGATTTCCAACCAGTTCACTTTTTTTCTTTTTTCTTTTTTTTTTTTTGGAGAGGTTTTGCTATAGGACACACGCGCTCACCAGAAAGACAGAGAGAGACAGAGAGACAGAAAGCGAGAAATCACCCCCAGGGGGGATGGCCACGCTGCAATCCCTTCTCCTCCATTCTTCTCTCGGGATCTTGGGCATGCACACACGCCCGGTGTGAGTTTAAGCCACCGGGTCTGGGACTCGAACTGTGGTTGACTACATGGGAGTCCAGCGACATAACTATTACGCCAACTGCTGGTCCCCAACCAGTTCATTTTCATTGCTTAAATAATAGCTCATGATGGGGCCAGCAGGTAGCAGCATGGTGATTAAGACGCTGGACTGTGGGACCAGCAGTTAGTGTAATGGCTATGTCGCTGGACTCCCATGTAGTCGACCGCGGTTCGCGTCCCGGACCTGGTGACTTAAACTCACGCTGGGCGTGTGTGCGTGCATGCCCAAGATCCTGAGAGGAGAATGGAGGAGAAGGGATTGCGGCGTGGCCATCCCCTCTGGAGGGTGATTTCTCGATTTCTGTCTCTCTCTGTCTGGAGAGCGCAGGCGCCCTATAGCAAAAACCTCTCCAAAAAAAAAGACCCATGGCCAACCACAGTTTGAGTCCCAGACCTGGTGGCTTGAAAATCACACTGGGCACAGGTATGTGTGTGCCTAAAATCCCAAGAGGCGATTGGAGGAGAAGGGATTGCAGCATGACCATACCTGCTAGGGGGTGATTTCTCACTTTCCCTCTCGCTGTCTCTTTGGTAACCACATGCGCCCTATAGCAAAAGAAAAAAAAAAAATACAGCCTATGAATCCTCTCATCATTGATGATTTTCCTAAGATTCGGGAATATATATAAATTGTAACCATCTGTTATGTGTCTAATATTAGCATGATTGAGAATATTCGGTTTAGATGATGCGAAACCTTTCGAATATTTCATTCGAGTCTTTATTTACCGACAGGGCCACTTAGGTAGTTTCTGCTTTTCAACTCAGCAGTAAACTTTGTATTAACTCTCTTGTCAATTATGTGGGGTTTTTTTGAGGGGGTGAAGGGAGTCATCAGATTGATTTGGTAGTCACCTAAGAGTTTAGAATCACATAGTGAGGAGAATTGATTATAATTGATGCTGTTTAGCGATATATATATATTTTTTTTATTTTTGGAGAGGTTTTTGCTATAGGGCGTGTGTGCTCACCAGAACTACAGAGAGAGACAGAGAGACAGAAAGCGAGAAATCACCCCCCAGGGGGGATGGCCACGCTGCAATCCCTTCTCCTCCATTCTCCTCTCGGGATCTTGGGCACGCATGCACACATGCCTTGCGGGAGTTTTAAGCCACCGGTCTGGGACTCGAACTGCGGTCGGCTACATGGGAGTCCAGCGACATAGCCATTATGCTAACAGCTGGTCCCAGCGATATATCATTAGTGTACTATGACCAGTACTTACTTTTTTTTTTTTTTTTTAAGTGTTTGCCATAGTAGGTACGCACTCACCAGAGAGACAGAGGGAAAGTGAGAAATCACCCCCCAAGAGGAGGTGGCCACACCGCCATCCCTCCTTCTCCATTCTCTTCCTGGGATTTTGAGCACACTGGCACACACCCGGCGTGAGTTTTATGCCACTGGCTCTAGGACCCGAACTGGAGTTGGCCATGTGGTAGGGCCAGCATGTTAACACTAACGCACACCTGCGGGCCCCAATCAAGTATCTCTTTATTCCATTTGCATTTAACTTTGGAAACATAGCGGTACACACTGTCCCTGAGCGTTCCAGGGGTCAGATACAGTTTATATTAGAGCGTGTAATACCTGACTTTTCAGTCTGTCCTTCTCCGCTGAGCACAGTGGGTAGAATGAGCCCCACCTTTCTGTCTGTCTTTTTTTTAAAAAGGAAAATAATTATTGGGACCAGCAGTTAGCGTAATGGCTATGTCACTGGACTCCCATGTAGTCGACCGCAGTTGGAGTCCCAGACCCGGTGGCTTAAAAATCACGCCAGGCGCATGTGCGTGTGTGCCCAAGATCCCGAGAGGAGAATGGAGGAGAAGAGGAGAAGGGATTGCGGCGTGGGCAACTCCCCCGGGCATCTCCCCTGGGGGGTGATTTCTCGCTTTCTGTCTGTCTGTCTGTCTCGGTCTGTCTGGCGAGGGCACACGCCCTATAGCGAAAACCTCCCCCCCCCAAAAAAAAATTACTATTTTATTTAACTTCTATTTTTATTTATTTATTTTAATTTGACCAGAGAGGGACCGAGTGAGAGCGAGAGAAAATGGAAAAGTGAGAAAGCAAGCCGCCAGGTCCAAGAGTTGAACCGCAGGCGGCCTGTAGAAGTCCAACGCCCTTAACCACCACGCTGTCTGCTGGCCCTCTTTCTTTCTTGTTCTTTGTTTTTTTTTGCTTTTGAAAAGATTTTTGCTATAGGGCGTATGTGCTTCCCAGAGAGACAGACAGTGAGAAATCACCCCCTAGGCGTGATGGCCAATCCGTTCTTAATTCTCCTTTCAGGATTTTGGGCACGCACACACATGTACCCTGTCTGAGTTTCAAGCCACCAGATCTGGGACTCGAACCGTGGTCGACCAAGTGGAAACTGCTGAGGTAATATTGGCAGATAAGGCTTAATAGGGTAATAGCATCCAGACCTTGTTTATAGTCCTGCTGATCGAAGCTCAGCTGAGTCTGGGTGAGGGATTTTTCAAATTTCTGCTCTTGCCTCACTGTTTCATGAGAAGGAGTGTATTTTTCTGCTGCAACTTCTCTGAGTCATAGATAAGTTGGGCTTGAGGATAAATCCTTACGTTGTAGAGAGGCCCAGTCACCTGGAGGAAATAGAAATACCTGTATTTGTTTTACAGCATCAATGATGTGTCACGTTGAGTAAAGTAACCCTTCTGCTTTATTTTCGATTCCAGGCTCCCGATCATACCAGCAAAGCTGGTCAACATGCCTTTCAGGCATGTTGTAGACTTTGATCGGACCTGAAGTTGTTTCTTTTTTTCAAAGAATTATTTGTTGTCTTGTATGTATGTATTTACTTACGTATTTTTTCTTTTTTTTTTTTTTTTTTTTTCATTTGACCAAAGACAGACAAAGAGGGAAAGTGAGAAAGCAAGCTGTCAGATCCAGGACTCGAACCACAGTCAGCCATGTGAGAATTCAGCACCTTAATCACCACGCCACCTGCCGGCCCCTGGACCATCTTCATCCGTCTTCCCTTTTGGGTCTTGTGAGCCAAATCCACTGATGGATTTTATTTGTTTGCTGTTAGCTTGTTTCTAGTTTGTGGGAAATCAGAAAGCACAGTTTGAGTTTGTATTACTTTTACAGGAAAAAAAGACTGTGTGGACTTTTGGTGCAAAGAACATGCAAAAATCTATTGAAGTCTGACGATGCCATGGGAATTAAGGAAATGGCAAATTGGGTGATGGTTGGTTCATTTCGGATAGGTCTTGGGTGGATTTCGCTTCCTGTTTGTTTTATTCTGTAGTTATTTATTAGTTTGTCAGTTAAAAACATTTGCTTTTAGGACCAGCAGGTGGCGTAATGGTAATGTCACTGGACTCCCACGTAGTCGACCATGGTTTGAGTCCCGGACCCGGTGGCTTAAAACTCACGCCGGGCGCATGTGCGTGCGTGCCCAAGATCCCGAGAGGAGAATGGAGGAGAAGGGATTGCGGCGTGGCCATCCCCTCTGGAGAGTGATTTCTCGCTTTCTATCTCTCTGTCTCTCTGTCTCTCTGGTGAGCTCATGTGCCCTATAGCAAAAACCTCTCAAAAACAACAACAACAACAACAAAAATTTTTCTTTTAACTGTAAAGCAAGACGTTTTGCTTTTAGCTAGATGAGGATCCCTTGGTATATAAGATGGAAATTAGGGGTGATTTACTTTAATTCCTAAATTTGTCATTTCTGATAGGTTTAATGGGGTAAAACTTTTATAACCTAGATTGTTTCCTGTGGACCTGTGTGGAGTGGAAAAGATGAATGAGCGAAATGATTATTGGGCACACACGTAAACGCCCGGCATGATTTTCAAGCCACTGGGGCCAGGACTCAAACCGCAGTTGACCCTGTGGGAAGCCAGTGCTTTATTTTTTTTTTAATTTTTTTAATTTTTAATTTTTAATTTTTTGGAGAGGTTTTTGCTATAGGGCGCATGCACTCGCCACACAGACAGAGCGGAACAGAGAGACAGAACGCGAGAAATCACCCCCTGGGAGGATGGCCATGCCGCAATCCCCTCTCCTCCATTCTCCTCTCGGGATCTTGGGCACGCACACACACACGCCCGGCGTGAGTTTAAGCCACCGGGTCCAGGACTTGAACCACGGTCGGCTTCATGGGCGTCCATGACATAGCCATTACGCTAACTGCTGTCCCAACCTGATGTTTATTTTCTACTTCAGATTCTTTTCCAATACTCATTTGTATTTTGTGGCTCAGACTGTCCTGTCTTTGGCCACCGGTAGCCCTGTCTGTTGGCTCTTGTGTCCCTCTGACACACTGCAGCGGTGTGGTACACGTTGACCGTGATAGAGAAGCTTGCGTGTGCATGAGCAGGTGGAGAGACAAGCCCTCCCTCCCAACACCAGATCTGGTCATGCTGTAGTCCCCTTCTCATTACTCCCAGCTCACCAGGATCTTGGGCATACAGCATGCTCCTGGCATGTTTCAGGTCAGCCAGACCAGGGCTTCAAACCGCAGTCAGCCACGTGGCTTCCAGCACTGCAGTCCAGCCACTACCAGATGTGCCAGGGGCTGGGCCTCCTCTGCACGCTTTACACCTGGCCTTGTAGAAATTGTCGCGGTCTCGTCTAGTTCACTTCATGTTAGAACGAGAAGGGAGGGTTTTAAATCAAATTTTCTCTCCAAGCACAAGCTGGCGGTCTTTCACTTTCTTGAGGAAGTGCAGCAAGGAGAAATAGGATGTGAGGGGGGAAAGGTAGACACGTCTGTGTCGATTGGGATTGGGTGGGAATTCTGGTGTCCCACCCGTGGGACCTGCAACTGCTACTGATTCCGTGCAGCATGAGTCGCGTGGTGACCCCACCGTAGCCTTGTCTAAAGATTTCAGTCGTGGGGACCACCAGTCAGTGTTATGGTTATGTCGCTGGACTCCCACGTAGTCGACCGGACCGCGGTTCACGTCCCGGACCCAGTGGCTTAAACTCACACCGGGCGCGTGTGCGTGCATGCCCAAGATCCCGAGAGGAGAATAGAGGAGAAGGGATTGCGGCGTGGCCATCCCCCCTGGGGGGTGATTGCTCGCTTTCTGTCTCTATGTCTCTCTCTGTCTGTCTGTCTGGCGAGCGCACGTGTCCTATAGCAGAAAAACTCTTCAGAAAAAAAAAAAAGACTTCAGTGGTGGAAGGTTTGGCATATCCACCACTCTGGGATGGGGCAACGGCTGTTCCCGTCTGGAATTCCTAAAGCGGTTCTAAAATGAGCAGAAGGCAATTTCACGTGTCCTAAACCTTAATGGAATCTCCTGAGCTGGGATATAATATGACATAGACAAAGAGGCTTTTCTTTTTCTTTTTTTTTTGGAGAGTTTTTCGCTATAGGGCGTGTGCACTCGCCAGAAAGACAGAGAGACAGAGAGACAGAAAGTGAGAAATCACCCCCCAGGGGGGATGGTCATTCCACAATCCCTTCTCCTCCATTCTCCTCTCGGGATCTTGGGCACGCATGCACACGCGCCCGGCGTGAGTTTTAAGCCACCAGATCCGGGACTCAAACTGCGGTCGACTACTTGGGAGTCCAGCGACATAGCCATTACGCCAAATGCTGGTCTCAAAACATCAGTATTTTGAGGGGAGACAAAACATCCTGGAAAGAAATAATATTTGTTAGAGGTTAATGTAGGTAAGGAGATCATTTTATCTAAGGATGGATTTGAGGAACTGGTGGTGGTTATGGCACTGGACTTCGATGTGGCCGACCATGGTTCGAGTCCTGGACTAGGAGGTTTGCTTTCTCATTTTCTCTCTCTCATGGTGAAACTTAAATAAAGTTAAATATAATAATTCTAAAAAAAAGAAGAAGAATGGATCTAAGTTCTTTAAATTTGTTGCAAACTACTGAAATTTTATGTATTTATTTATTTAATTTGAAGAGGTTTTTGCTATAGGGCGTGTGCACTTGCCAGACAGACAGAGAGAGACAGAGAGACAGAAAGCGAGAACTCACCCCCCAGGGGGGGATGGCCACGCCGCAATCCCTTCTCCTCCATTCTCCTCTCGGGATCTTGGGCACACACGCACACACGCCCCGCGTGAGTTTTAAGCCACCGGGCCCGGGACTCAAACCATGGTTGACTACATGGGAGTGCAGCAACATAGCCATTACGCCAACAGCTGGTCCCGAAATTTAACCTTATCAAAAGGTGGACTATACCAGTGGCTTCTTTACTTACATACATGTATATGTGTATGTGTGTATATGTATTATATGTGTGTGTATATGTGTGTATGTGTGCACATGCACATATATCTGTATATTTAATTTTTGCCATAGAACCCTTGCACTTACCAGAGAGAGAGGGAAAGTGAGAAAGCACCCCGAAGAGGGGATGGCCACATTGTAATCGCCTCTCCTCCGTTCTCGTCCTGGGGTTGTGGGCACGCAGGCATGCACGCACACACGCCTGCGATCGGCCCCGCGGGAGTCCCGCATTTAGCCAGTAAGCCCCCTGCTGGTCCCAGCTCCTTTATATTTTAAGGACCTGTCCTCTGATGATGCTTCTGTTCTTTTCTAGGTACAGAAGGCTCTTTCACTCCTGACCAGGCCGCGTCTGATCCCCTCCCTCAGGATGCTGTGTGTGCACAATGGTTGTTAGGCAATCCACCTGTCATGAGAAGGGACACGCTATCGTAAGGTACGGTGACTCAGGGTCGTCCGCCATCTGTGCGGTGTGGAGGGAGGACCCAGTTTGGTTTTGTTATTTTCCTTTATACTCATGTATACTGAATAGGACTCTCGCTCAGAAAATCTGGGGTTTTTTGGAGATTGTTCCAATTTCACTTACACGAGAGACCTCATTTAAGGTGCCGAGATAATGAGCCCATCAGAAATCAGATCTGTTGGGGGAACCAGCAGTTAGCGTAATGGCTATGTCGCTGGACTCCCACGTAGTCGACCGCAGTTCGCGTCCCAGACCCGTTGGCTTAAAACTCACGCCGGGCACGTGTGCGTGTCTGCCCAAGATCCCGAGAGGAGAATGGAGGAGAAGGGATCGCCGTGTGGCCATCCCCCCGGGGGGCGGTGACTTCTTGCTTTCTGTCTCTGTGTCTCTCTCTGTCTGTGTGGCGAGCGCACACGCCCTATAGCAAAAACCTCTCAAACAAAAAAAAAAAGAAATCAGATCTGTTGGGCCAGTAGGTGGAGTGGAGGTTAAAGCAGCTGAATCCTCCCTAGCTGATCGGCAGTTTGAATCCCAGACCCAGCGGCTTCAGAATCATGGCAGGCATGTGTGAGTGCACACCAGAATGCTCAAAGGGAAATGGAGGAGAAGGGATAATGGTGTGGCCATCCCTCCTCAGTGTCACTTCTCAGTTCCCTTCTCTCTCTGTCCCTGTCTCTCCCCAGCAAGCTCACATGCCCAATAGCAAAAACTGAAAAAAAAAAAAAATTTTTTTTTTCTATTAAAAATGATTGATTTGGGACCAGCAGGTGGCATAGTGGTTAAGACACCGGACACTCCCATGTGGCTGACCACCATTCAAGTCCCAGACCTGGTGGCTTGCTTTCTCACTTTCACTCTCTGGTCATATTAAAAAAATAAATGAATGAATAAATAAAATTAAATAATTCTTTAAAGAAAAAGATTTGTTTTGAGCTTATACTAATGATGTCCATGAATCCCTTTGATAGTCTTCAGCATTTTCTCTTCCAACACTGAGAATGATCAAAAACATATTCTCAAAAGATTCTCTCATCTTACAATATCTAAGATAAGAGACTTAATTTTATTGTAGTGTAGTAATTAAGGGAAGAAATGGGGAGATCATGTTTATTAAGAAAACTGGGGGACCAGCAGTTGGCGTAATGGCTATGTCACTGGACTCCCATGTAGTCGACTGCGGTTCGAGTCCCAGACCCGGTGGCTTAAACTCATGTCAGGCGCGTGTGTGTGCCCAAGATCCCGAGAGGAGAATGGAGGAGAAGGGATTGCGGCGTGGCCATTCCCCCTGGGGGGTGATTTCTCGCCTTCTGTCTCTCTGTCTCTCTGGCAAGTGCACGCACCCTATAGCAAAAAACCTCTACAAAAATAAAACAAACTAAAAACACACAACTCATTATTAATATGAGTTTATTTTTTTCTTTTGAGAGAGATTTTTGCTATAGAGCACATGCACTCACCAGAGAGATAGAAAGCGAGAAATCACCCCCCAGGGGGGGATGGCTACGCCACAGTCCCTCCTCCTCCATCCTCCACTCGGGATCTTGGGCATGCACGCACATGCGCACTGCCTAAGTCTCAAGCCACCAGGACTTGAACCACGAATGGCCGTGGCGGTGGGCAATGCCTCAACCACTATCCCACCTGCCGGCCCCTTTAATGTGTTTTTAAACTGTTAAGGACAAACAGAAACTTGCACTGATCAGCTTCAAGGAAGCCCTGCCAACTGGGCTAATTTAAAGCAATAGATGAGAATCACATCTTAATTAGTAGCTTCCAATTCTAAAAATAAAAACTACGTGTGTGATAAAGCCCTTTAGATATATTTTGCTCTCACATGTAGGTTAGACATCTCAGGATTCTCTTGTGAGCAATAATAAATGTATCTTGCAGAACTTTTTAATAGAATTATTTAATTTTATTTGTGTGTTTTTTATTTTTATTTTTCCCAGAGAGGCTTTTGCTATAGGGTGCTTGCCAGAAAGACAGAGACAGACAGAGAGACAGAAAGCGAGAAATCACCCCCCAGGGGGATGGCCATGCCACAATCCCTTCTCCTCCATTCTCCTCTCGGGATCTTGGGCACGCACGCACACGCGCCCGGCGTGAGTTTAAGCCACTGGGTCCGGAACTCGAACCGCAGTCGACTACATAGGAGTCCAGCGACGTAGCCATTACAGCAACTGCTGGTCCCTGATTCTTTTCTTTTCTTTTTTTTACCTTGCTATAGGGCATGTGTGCTAACCTGAGAGAGACAGAGAGAGAGAAAGGGAGAAAGAAAGAGAGAGGGAAAGTGGAAAAGCAAGCCGCCAGGTCTGGGACTCGAACTGCAGTTAGCCATATAGGAATCTGGTGCCTTAACCACCTTACCACCTGCTGGTCCCATTTTTGTTGTTTTTTAGTTTGGTACAGGGCATGTGCACTCACCAGAGAGAGAGAGAGAGAGAGAGAAGGAAAGAAAGAAAGAAAGCCACTAGGTCCAGGACACACGCTGCAGTCAGCCCAGGGGAAGTCCAGCGCCTTAACCATCGTACCACCTCCTGGCCCTCAGAATGTCTCGTTACAGACTACACAGTGGTAAACTTGGATTAAAAGTACAAATTGGCTATTTTGCTATTTTGTTTTAGTGTGCTATAGGTGTGCATGTGCTCACCACGGAGAGACAGAGACAGAGAGAGGGAAAGTGAGAAAGCATCCCCTGGGAGGACGGCCATGCCTCAATCCTTTCTTCTCTATTCTCTCGGAGTTCTGGGCCTGCATGCACACGTGCCAGCGTGTTTTCGGTGTTTTCTTAGATGTTTTTGCCATAGTGTGTGTGTGTGCTCAATGGACAGAGAGACAGAGACAGTGAGAGGGAAAGTGAAAAAATCACCCCCTGGGATGGGGGGATGGCCATGCCACAATCCCTTCTCCTCCATACTCCTCCCAGGATCTTGAGCACGCACATGGACCTGGTATGAGTTTGAAGCCATCGGGGTCTGCGACTCAAACCACAGTCAGTCCTGTGGGAGTCCAGTGACGTAATGCTACTCCACCTGCTGGGCCCCACCAGCTTCTTTTTCAAGCTGGTGGGTCTGGGACTTGAACTGTGTAGTCAGCCACATGGGATCCACCCAACCACCGGCTGACCCAGACACCCTGTGTTGCTTTATGGAAAATGGTATATGCTTCTAAGTATCACCGTTAAGTGATATAAATTTAAAATATCATGTTGCTGCTACAGGTGGCTATTTTCTGAGGGAAAATGAGCAAATGAAAGATTTCTTTACAATCAATTTTCTTTTCCTTTTTTTTTTTGGAGTGGTTTTTTTTGCTATCAGGTGCATGCACTCACCAGAAAGACAGAGACAGAGAAACATCTTTCACATCTTGGACTCAAAATAGTGTTGAAATAATTCAGAGGATAGGAGCCAGCAGTTAGCGTAATGGCTATGTCGCTGGACTCCCACGTAGTCGACCACGGTTCACGTCTCGGACCTGGTGGCTTAAAACTCATGCCCGGTGCGTGTGCGTGCGTGCCCAAGATCCCGAGAGGAGAATGGAGGAGAAGGGATTGTGGCGTGACCATCCCCTCAGGGGGGTGATTTCTCACTTTCTGTCTCTCTGTCTCTCTCTGTCTGTCTGGCGAGCGCACACGCCCTATAGCGAAAACCTCTCAAAAAAAAATAATAATAATTCAGAGGACCAGCCTAAAGATTTTCACTTCTTTTTTTTTTTAATTTGAATCTTCTTTTTTAAAGATTGATTTTGTTTGTTATTAATTTATTATTATTTTTCTTTTTAATTTGATCAGAGAGAAAGAGAATGGGAAAGAGAGAAAGTAAACCTCCAGGTCTGGGACTTGAACCATGGTTGGACACGTGGGAGTCCGGCATCCCAACCACCACTCCCCCTGGTGGCCCCTTCACTTTTTTTTTTTTTTTTTTTTGAGGGGGTTTTGCTTTGGGGGTCGCGTGCCTGCCAAG